CACTTTGAAGCATAGAAACATCTTCTATTTATTTCAACAGAGTTATGCTCTCAGAATTTTCAAATATAAATAGGGAAATTTTGAAGAGGTTGAGAGCACTCAGAGAAGAATAAAGTGTGAAATAAGTTGAGCTGCAAAAAGAAGATAGCCTCAGGGAGCAGGAAAAAGAAACTCTGTTTTAATGAGGAAGCAGGAAAAAAAAGAGAATAGTTTTGTGGACACACTGGTATGTCAGAGAGGAAACAAAGAGAGCTAGGAAAGATTAAATGTTTCGCATTTACTTGTTTTCAGCAGGGTTTCAATTGCCAGTGTGGGCAAGAAAGTCTGATCCTTGTGTTTAGCCTGAATATCCATAACCCACCTCAAATTTGTGGATAATGATGTTTTGTGTGGCTATGGGTAGGATGAGCATTCAAGTTTCACATTGGATCCTTTGCTTTTAAACTATGAAGGAGGTAGAAAGAGATGAAGAAATGGTTGAGGGGAAAAAAAACACCAAAACCACCGAAGATTGCATTTGAGAAAAGCCTCAAAGCCTCTAGGATTAAAAGTAAAAGCTTCCAGAAAATTCCTTTACCTGACTGCCATATCAGTGGAAGGATTTACAACCACTCCAGTGTTGGGCAGGTGGGGTGTTGTGTGGGGCTCTGTAGTGAGAAGTGGGAATCTCTCAAAGAGCATTTCTAAAAAAAACCCTTAAAGTCTTCTTGGTCAGAGATGTACCAGCTTGTGTCAGCCTGTGAGCTGCTGTGCTCACAAATTCCAAGTTACTCCTGGGGAAGTTATGATTTCCTGCACTCAGCATGGGGTTGGTACCAGGGTTTGATGGCATTGCTGCTCTTGAGCAGGCAGAGAAAGCAAGTGGGGCATGAAATAACCTGTACTTGCATCTTTCAGCTGTCACCCACACACAGTTCTGCCAGGCAAGGAAGCAATTCTCAATCTCCTCCCCAAGGGTTTGTGAAAACAAACATGGAATCCCTTCCTTTGTTTCCATGGAAAACAGGGCATGGGGAGGCCCGTGCTGAGGTGGAAAAATACACCAGTACTAACTGGTGTGTGACATTGTTTATGCAAGACTACAGTGAAAAGAATCATTTTAAGTGATGGATGAGGTGCTTTCCATATCCAGTTTCCTTTCCTGTTCAAATGCCTTTTGCCTGTGTAAGAAGTTATGAAAGAAGAATCAAAGCTTTATCTGTCTATAATAATTTGGTTACACTCCAAACAATGCTTCACTTGGTTTCCACTTCACCTTAATTTTCTCAGATATCCTGAATATCACTGTTTGTTTAAAGCCTGTTGGAGGAGACGCTGCCTCTTTGTGAAGAATCCAATTTCCCCAGCACTACAACACGTCTCTTGCTCACTGACTGCCTAACTTTGCTTCCTTACAGTGTTTCCTAGGAGATCAAATGGGAGCTTGAAGTACTCAAAAACCTAGTGTTGCAATGAAAAATAACTTATTAAAGTTTATAATTACTGAAAAATTAATCAGAGACTTAGCATGGTACTTGCATAAAGACAATAAGCCAAGCTCTTGTCATAGTGAAATATGGAATAACTATGTTGAAATAAATCTTAATTATGCTAGAGTTGCTACTCAGTGTGACTTAATTAGGAGTAGAGCAGTGAAAGCCTTTGGGGAAAAAAAGAAAGCTGATTACACAACCACTTAACTGCATATTCTTCCTTCCCCCCTGGTTCTTTTCCATCCCATCAGAGAAAATTTCAAAACTGGAGTTGTTTGAGGAACTTGAACAGACATTAACTGTGGCAGGTTATATTCTAAATAGGAATTGTTTGAAGTAAAAAGTTGAGAGTGATAACCCTGAAGATAATCTCTTTAAATTATGCATGCAAGGTGTCATGCATCCATATCTACATTGACCTTAAAGAGTGCTTTGCTTTGTTAGGCAATAAATTTATGAAACATAGAATTGTTTAAGTTGGAAGGGACCTTAAAGACCATCTAGCTCCAACCACCTGCAATGGGCAGCACGCTTTGCACTGCTCCAAGTCCTGTCCAACTTGGCCTGGGACACAGCCAGGGATGGGGCAGCCACAGCTTCTCTGGGCAACCTGTGCCAGGGCCTCCCTACCCTCACAGTAATGAATTTCTTCCTTAAATCTAATTTAAACCTACCTCAAGTACTGGACTACAAAGGTGAAGACTTAACTCTAATGAAAAAGGGAGAAAGAAAAAAGAATATTAGATTGATGTTTAAATTTAGTGTAAAGAAATAGATCTTCACTGCAGCATGCAACTATGGCTATAGAATATAGACAGATATATTGTTCAACAAGCTCACGAACAATGTAAGAGGCTCATTTGTCATGGTATCACTTCTTACCAGATAGAAGACATGCAAAGTCAAATATATCATGGCAATAAATCTATTGACTTCAACAGAGTTATCTCAACTATGAATTCAAAGCAATATACTTTGAGGGAATGAAACCAAACCAAGCAGGAGATGCACACAGGGTTCTTGGAAGATTATCTAGACCATATATAAAATCAGACATTAAAGGAATATGCACAGTATTGCAGGGGATTTATGGTAACTGAGGAAAAGGTGTGCAATGAAGATCCAGTATGCAGCAGGTTATCAGAGTGTCAAATTGCTTGGCATGAGCTATGTGCTTTCTTCACAGGTGCTATGCAGCTCCAGTTAAGCTGGAAAGGTGCTGGGTATAACGTACTGAAAAAAATTTGCAAGAAAAATAAACAAAAACAAGTAGAAAGAATTAAAAAATACAGACTCTGCATCCCAAAATTATTCCTGTTTTCCTTGTTCCATAGAGACTGATGTATTTGTAGAAGCAAAGGCTGCACTGGTCCTTTTTTGGTGGATGTGGAAATTGTTTGAAAAAAAAAAATCAAAATTACATCCATGAAGGATGTGGTTTGTTTTCTGCTTCACTCCTGCATCGACAGAGAAATAAAAACCTTCTAGTCCCAGTGTGTGATCTATATATTTGGTACTTGTTATACTAGGTGCTAAGTGATACTGCACATGCATGACACTGACAGGAGCTGGTTTGACACTTCATCAAATTCTTGCTGGTTTGTGTGAGCCCACCTTTAATATTGACATTTTCTGGTGTCTGGGCTTACTGTACTCTGCTATGGGAATTCCAGGTTTTTAAACAATTTGTTGTGCATAAAACTTCATAAGCAAAACATAGAATTTGGGCTGAGTTATTCCTGGGATTTATCCTTAAAACTGAAGCCTGGGAGGCATGTTTATAATATTTTCTCTTTCTCTACTTATTTTGTCATTTTAAGTGGTGTTAATCTTCCCAAGCCTGGATGAGTCTGCTGACTGCTGAGCTTCCTTGATCACTGATGGACAGAAATCTGCATTTTAAAAAATGTGATTCATTTATTTGTAATATACAACTGTAAAATGGATCAGAAGTGTCTGTTACTCTCTTATGGCCATAAAGGAAGTTCAGACATAAATATTTACATTGGTAATATCTGAAGTTAGATGAGATGAATCCTGGCTTTGATAGCTTTGGAAAGTGCTATTTCCCTCAACTCAATGCATGACAGAGATCCCTGGGATACATCTGGGCAGTACAAGAGAAGACCAGGAATTTCCCAGGTGACACCTCCAGAAGTGATTACCAAGGGTCACAGTGCTGCAACACTGCAGGTTTCATGTGGGCAGTGGAGAAAATCTAAAATGATTAAGAAGCTTGACATTCACAATGGACTGATCAAAATAGGATGGATGTTGCACAGTGTCATCAAGATGCAAAACAAAGTCAGTAAAAACTTCCCAACTAGAGACACATGTGACCCATAACTCAACACTAAAACATCCCCTGCTTCTAAACCTTACTGAACTATTTAGATCTCAGTTCTGTATCTGCCCCTGGAATATTTTGGCTCAAACCAGTAACCTTGATCTAGCTACCCCTGAAGTTTTGATCTAGATTCAAACTTTGGGAGCTTTGCCTGTCTAGAAAGTTTCTCCCTCCCTAAGACATGTTGCACTCAAAAGTTTCCTCGAACTATCAAGAGCTTTGACCACTCCTAAAACACAGAGGTCATTTTTGGCAAATGATAATGGCAAAGTACAGAAAATATAGAGAAGAGGTGAAATTGCATTCCTTGGAAGCAGAAGCAGCTCATGAACATTAGAACTGGCATTCAAATGGCTTTTTTTTGTACTGCAGGTGATTTTTTTCCAGCTCTCCCTAACCATAAAACAGTAGGAAGAGGTGAGACATGTCACATAGCAAAGAATTAACATCTTGCAGAGAGCTTTTTAGTAAGACATATGTACACTTCCTCGTCAGCAAACTGCAGTTTTGAGACTGAGTTATCAGCCACAAATAGACATGTATACACATTCTGGAAGGCAAACAGCTTCCAGATTATCTTTTAAAGGTACCCACAAATAATACAAAGTAGACATAGACACTTCATATAGTGATATCTTTACATAGTGTCCTCATGGATACTATAGGTTCAGGAAGACATTGCTCATGGAGGTGATGCTGTACCGTATTCCAGAAAGTAGAAAGCAAGCCCTTTTAAAATACTGAAAGGAGAGATCAGCATGGCAAGCTCCAGTGCAGAACTGGGCCGAGAGCAAACTGAAATGGCTAGATCTGTTTTCATCCCTTCCCTTGGGCTACTAAGCTGAATAGTTTACAAAGCAGAAAAAGTCATTCACAGTCCTTTACAGTACAATTTCTAGTGCCACATAGTAACTGAGGATTTACTGCACTCTCCTGTGAAATTTCAACTGCCATAACAAAGCTTTATGTTGCAGATGATCAACACTCAAATATTTAGGAATAATAATAACAGTAAAAAAGACATTTCACCCTCCCCTCCCCTTCCCACCGGGGACCAATCTGTCTTCTTGCAATGAGGGGTTGATCTGGCCCCATGCAACATTTACAAGGTGGTTTTTTTTTTAGTGTGGCAAGATTTTTGTATCATGATTTGCTTGAAGAAGGGGAAAATCCCACTTCCTGCAGCATATTGCAGAGACCAGCAAACATACCCCTTCATGCCTTGGACCAAATATATGATGCTAGACTGTGCAGGTGCTCCAGAGCTGACTCAGCTGCTACACGGTCACATTGTGCCTGTGAAATGCAATCCATCATTGCGTTTGTAGCGCCTGCTTGATTAATATTCAGTATTTAATGTCAACACTGATAAATTAGGATTCAGAAGTGTTACACTGCAGGAACTGCAAACAGTGCTGCAGAGACGATGGCCTGGGTTAGTTTTGTGAGATCTGTTAATTCAAGGGGAAATTCATAATTACCAAAATAGGTGTATGGTATTTACTACCAGCTGTGGCCTCTTGGGATAACAGTGATATGTCACATTTAAAGGAACTACGAGTTAGATTTCCAAATGGCTATGATTATTTTTTATCCTATCCCTTTGCCATCCATATTTGCAATAATGCTCTAATTGTGGTGTTACAGATATACAAGGTATACCGGATTTGGGAAGTACTTTGGCTTAGATAGTTTAAAACATTTACTTCCCAAGTGCATAGGTTGCATCTTACTTGCTCAAGAAAATAAAAAATTACCATGGCATTTTCAATCTCTCTTGGTCTTGTAACCTTTTCTCATTTGAAATATTGTTTAATTCTTTTCCATGGACAATTTTTTCAAACAAATCTGCCTTTTCCCCTAGTGTTTACTTAATGGTAACTCTTTTTTTCACCTTAGCTTTTGTCCTACATATGACATATTAAGCAACTCCCATTAGAGCTACAGTTTGAGACTCAGGAACACTTAATGGCCAACAGACTCTTCCCTGGTGGAGAATGAGGATTCAAAGGAAACATTTGAGATTATTTCACTTTCATTATTTTTGTTAAAAAAAGTTTGCACCTTGAGGTGTCATGAATACCCCTTCTTGATCTTCCTTTGCCTTGTCAGACCTGGCCAGCACAAGCAGCTGAGATCTTTGCTCTATTTTCCCTGCATCTCTGTGCAACGCTTTTTTAAAAAGAGAATATACTATTATATTTTTCTAAGCCTTTCAGACTGCTGTAACATGATCAGGATTCTCCTGAATCTCTATGCATTCGATCTCTTCTCGTTCCTTCCTTTTGGCCCGTTTCTTTTTCTTGTGGTGCTTTTTGGAAGGTGGGAAAAAGGTTAGAAACACGGGCAAAATAACAAAACAGTGCAGAAGTGTGCAACTGCCGGCAAGCAGCAAGCATTTGAACAGTGTGAAGGTCAAGTTTGAAGGCACAAAGAGAAGGGGGACCAACCCGATAAGAAAGGAAGAAACGTTCTGCAAAATGGCTGTCCCATGCTCTTGGAGGGAGTTCTTTATACACTGAGTTCGGGTGTGCTCAGTAGCTAATACAAATGTATAAAGCAGGGGTGCACAGTGATCTATGGCAAAATTCAAAGTGTAGATAAGGCACAGTATAGAAATGCAATCCATGTCTACATTCCATAAGGTCATCAAGCCAAGGACACCCAGCTCTATTGAGGTGACACTTAGGATTAACCAGAAATTTCCCAGAGGGTGGATAACCAGGAAGAAGGTCAGTATTAACACCAGCAGGATGCCAAAACCAGAAATCAGGACAGGCATAGTTACTGATAAACCATAGTGGTCCATGAAAACAAAAGTAGGGTTGAACACAATGAACTTGATGCTCTGTATAAGAGAAAGTGGCCTCAGCTTCTCCAGCAATTCCACTGCTTCCCTCTGCGTGTTTTCACTAGTCCTGGCCACAAGGTACAGACGAGAAGCAATTATGTTGTTCTCATCTCCAGCTTTGGAGAAAATTATGTCATTTTTGAAGTGCTGGAATTCTGGCTTTTTTAAAAAGGAGCTCTGGAGGATGCTGATAAAGTCACTTTTGTTGGTTGCACTGATGTTACCCACTCGAAGGTATTGGTAATACTGTTCAATCCAGGACACGGTGTTGAACCCCTGGCTGAGTGTTTTTAGGTCTTCTTGCACAGTACCATTCCAGTACTCCAGAGGTTCATAGATGTAGAAGCCTATCACAGGGCTGTAGTTGCTGAAATACTTTTGCTGTATGAGGGCATAGGAGACGCTTGGGGACTCACTGGCAAGAAGGTTGATGATGTTTGCTCCATCATTAATCTGTAAGCACCCCATAAAGGAGAAAGAGGCATAGATGAGATACAGTATCACCACAAATGGCTTGACGTAGATATTGGTAATCCACTCATTGTAGTGCTCTCGGAGGAAATGCTGGATAAAGTGGTGCTGGTACGGGTTGGTCTCGTGGTGGGAAGTGTGCTGATGGCCGTCGTTCATCATGGTCTGGAACCACACAGGCTTCCGGTCCAGGTACTCTGCCGAGGGGATTTTACAGCAGAAGATGCTGTGGTACCGGTTCTGCTCCAGCTGGCCAGCAAAGACCAGGCAGGAGCCAAAGAAAGAGAAGATGTAGAAGTAGTTCAACAGGATGGAGACACACATGTTCTGGCAGAAGACTTTTACAGCTTCGATGTTGGTGAAGGGGCTTGCCCCCATGCCGAAGGCTATGAAATACAAGGAGCTTGTCATCGTGTAGGAGACCATGACATCCGAGTAGGCATCGGCTACTCGGTCCTTGAATGGCAGATTCTCCCTGGTGCGACGCCATCCTGAAAGAAGTTCAAACACGCCTTTGGTTCCGTGACCTGAAATGAGGAAACAAAGTTTGTATTCGTGCATAGATATAGGGGGTCCAATCATCCCCCAGGTGTTTCATCCTCCAGCAGTAAAACAATTCTGTCAGCTAAATTTTGTCATGTTTTTGTCACCAGCTAAACAAATGGAAAACCTTTAAATGCCTGTCTAAAGCTAAATACCATGTTCACCTGCAGGTGCTTAAATTAACAACCCTGACATTCTAAGACTCTCCATGCTCAGAAAAAAAATGAAGACACTAATTGATTTTAATGGACATTGAATTACTTTCCAAATAGACTGCAAATACAGGAGAATGTGAAGTTTGGTTCAAGTCTGGGATTCATTCTAAAAATTCCTTTTGTCATCCTATTAAATCTTTCAAGGTTTAAGAGATTCAACCTGAAAAACTTAAAAATGGAAGTAACATTTTCTTCCAAAGAGCATAAATTAAACGGATTATTTGAGAAATGAGTGATTGTCACCAAGAATGGGACACCTTGTTTCTTTGTACATGATAAAGGAAAAATTATGCTGTGAGTACAAATAACCAGAGTAATTTGTATCATAATTCTCTGCCTACTGAGTGACATTGGAACTCTCAATGATAGCACAGTTTGCACACTATGAAAATTGCCATGCTGGTGGTGATGATGGAGGGTAGTTCACTGGCTAAGCCATTGGTCCACATTAATTGTCTAGAAAATGCGTGGGTTTATTTTCTATGATTATATTGTGTCTCTTTCTGCTATCCAGAGCTCCTCCTGGTGACAAGGAGTTCTGTTAGCTCATGTGAAAGGACATTCAGAAAAGTCAGATGTGGTCAGTGTTCCATGTCAGGTTCTGACTTTGTATTCCATTCCTAAGTATTTTAGGGGTATGATATTTTAATAAACTCAAATTTAATACAGACTTACTTTAATTTTACTTGTCACAGTCACAGTCTAGGAAGTCTACAGCTATTAAATTTTGTGACAGAATGATAAAGCTGAAGCTGATCTTACTGGAAAAGTTTAACAAATAAGTTATGTATCATGTATACATATTCATGTAATGTGTATGTTGAAAAGAATATATACACACATGCACTTTTTTTTTTTACCACTAGAGAATTTCAGCTTGAGGGAAAATAGAAAACCCAACATTTAAAAAACTCATCAAAATGTTTTGGCGTTCAAATAACAATTAAATTTGGCTTTCAAATAATATTAAAACAATAAAAAAATTAAAACTATTAAAACAACAAATTTGAATTTGGATTAGAAAGTGGAAAGCTCTCTTCACTTTGGATCTAGCCATGAGAAAATTCTGGCCAATTTAAGGAGACACACTACTGAGCAGAAAAGGAATCAGGAGCAGATTGCAGATGTTTCTGCCTCTGTCTGTGGGCCTTCACTCTCTGTAGTAGAAGAATTGCATGAAACAAAGCAGGTACAAAGCAAATTTTCTCAGATCAAATCCAGAAATATGACAACAGGAGATTTGCAAATAACCAAGTGTGTGCAATGAAAGGTCTGTTGAGTTTGTCTTTAGATTTAAATTGTTTGGATTCATGCAGCTGCTTATGTTGCCCCAAGCAGACTCCTGACAGCCGTTCTAGACAGGGAAAATTACAGCATAAACTGTCAGGTTCTTTGAGTGTTACCTGCTCTACTGCAGATCAGTGTCCCCAGTGAAAGATAAACATACAGCAGCACAGAAGTCTTGCAGTTTGCAAAAAAGCCTGTGAGGAAATGCTGCTCTCTTATGAACCAGCATCTCAGCTCAGGAGGGATGTTGAATTCCCTAGGAAGTTTAGGGTGAGTTGTTTCAAATTCTCAAGGCACAGCTGCCTTGCACACTGTCATTTTTGGACCATCAAGCAGAAAGTATTTTCTCCTTCAGCTGAATAAATCTGCAGAATCAAGTGACTTGAATGCAATGTTTATATGACTGTAGCAAGTGTTTAAGTCTCCTGCAGGTTGTGGACCAGGCTGGCTGGTCACCACTTCAAGGGCACACGTCCTGGCATGGCTTAATTTAACGGTACAGAAACCACAGAACCATTAAGGTTGGAAGTGACCTTTAAGATCATCGAGTCCAACCATGAACCCAGCACTGCCAAGCCCAGCACTAAACCACGGCCCTCAGTGCCACACCTGCACATCTTCTAGATGCCTTCAGGGACAGTGGTTCCACCACTTCCCTGGGCAGTCTGTTCCAATGCTTGACAATCCTTTCAGTGAAGAAAATTTTCCCAATATTCAACCTAAACGTCCCCTAGAGCAACTCCAGGCCATTTCCCCTGGTCCTATTTCTTATCACCTGAGAGAAGAGACAAACCCCCACCTGGCTGTCCCCTCCTCTCAGGGAGCTGTGCAGAGCCAGAATATTCTCCCTGAGCCTCCTTCTCTCCAGGCTGAGCCCCTTTCCCAGCCCCCTCAGCTCCTCCTCATCAGATCTGTGCTCCAGAGCCTTCCCCAGCTCCATTGTATTTCTCTGGATGCATTCCAGCACTGGAATGGGTGAAGCAATGCTCTACCAGCTCTATCAGCAATTAACAATAGTTTGGACTTTTCTCTCCTTATTCCAAAATCTCACTTATCTGCCCTCCTGCAGGTTTGTGTTCACAGTTGCATCTTTGCCATGTTTTTATTGTTATTAATTTATAAATGTTAATATATCACATTCTCAGTGATGAGTACCTGGGTGCATTTAACCTTGGGGTAGCTACACAATATATAATAGAGAGGAGCTTTATTGTCAAACATATGTGTGAAGAACTATGCAAGACTATGCACTAGTGTGTGTGCCTAAACTTGTGACAATGTTCAAAATTAAAACACTGTAATTAAACTCTAGGTTTTTGTTTTTTTTTGGTTTTGGTTTTTTTTTTGCAAATAGAACAAATATTATCCTAAGGAAATAAGTATTGCTATTTGTAGCTTTTTTGAGTGTCAAAATTTGCACTGATTTTCTTATGATTCTTATTATACAAAAGTTAACTTTCTGCTTATTCCCCTTTTACAATTATCTTCAGTTCTATCACACAAACACAGGGATTGGGGAATACAGAGCAGTAATTCCCTTGCTGACACAAGAGGAAATCTCTGCCTGACTGGTTTGCCCATGTCATTGCTCTGATACCAAGTTTTCCAGTCAGCCTCTGTTGCTCTCCCCAGATAAGCAGGTCTATTCCCTTCTCCCAACAAGGATACACATACATTTTTCCTGAACGTTTTCTGACAGTTCTCAAGATTCACACAACATAGTCACTCTATAAAATTCTGTTTCTTCAGCTTCCTTCCTAATGCCACAACAACACTGACAGTGGAGTTGAGTTCACTGAGCAGTTCCAGGAAGGTTCAGGGGTCTTTGGCTTTGGGTCAAAACTGCCAAGTTTCTCTGGTACTAACATGACATGAATGAAGTACAGCAATTTTTTATTTGCTGGACAGGCAATGGCCTATGACTACTTTAAAGGAAAGGAGACAAGAAATTTTTAGTCCATTTTTTGTGAGGGTAGGAGAGCAAGAAAGGGAGGCTACAGAGAAGACAAAAATAAATAATGTATTTTCTGCCTCAAATTTAAGAGCAAAAGATTAATTATGAGCAGATGTTTAAAATAAGTTGGAAGAGAATAGGGATAGAAACAAAAAGAGTGAAATGAGAGATTAAAGACAACTTGGTTAAGTTAAAGTCAATCAACCTGGAGAAATGAATCAATTAAAAGTTAAGCCAAAGCAATCTCTGAACAATTAGGAATCATCTCAGGGGATAAATGTAGATGGGATGGTCCAAGAAGAACGGAAAGAAGCAGCAAAGTATCCATCATCAAAAAGGAGGACTGGAGCCCTGTTTTGAAATGGGGGATGATATTTTTACTGAACTACAGAAAGATTTAGTTTGGAAAGGACCTTTAAAATCACCTAGTTCTAGACCTCTGCTGGGGATGACATTTAAAAAAAAAATGGACAAAATAGGCTGAATGTCCTGGAGAATAAAACCAGCAAACAATAGTCTGTTATTTGTACATTAAAATCAAAGACAAACTGAATGAGTTGGATTTTTTTCCCCTCATAGACTGGAACATCAGTGAGGACTTAACAACATTCAACATAAAAAAAGGTACACTAAGGACAGCAATCAAGTCTTTCTCATTTCTGCTTGGAGAAGAAGAAGTCATTGGTTTCATTTGGAAAAAAATCCCCCAAAACCATTAAATTAGACATCAGAAAAAACAAAGCTTTCTTTCTTTCTTTCTTTCTTTCTTTCTTTCTTTCTTTCTTTCTTTCTTTCTTTCTTTCTTTCTTTCAGCTTCATTAAACTCTGGAACACACAATCTAAGGAGGTGATAAAGTCTTCTTGACTCCAAGTCTAAAGGTTAGATTAATAAATGTTAATGTAGGTGCTGGGTACATCCTGTCTGTGCTGGGAGGCAGATTCTCTTCACATTCCTGAGGTCTCTTATTTTGTACCATCATACCTGTCTCTGCTTAGAATGCCTAGGATTTTTTAAGCATGAAAACCAATCTGTCTTCAGTGTTTTCTTAACCGAAGCATGCCTAATCAGCATTTAGCTGTTGTTTCTGCCACAGTCAGTCACCTCCTTCAGACGGGAGTTTGATCTGCATTTCTCACTCCTCCTAACAGCCAGTGAGACCCCAGTGTGAGGCCGTGAGGCTCTGCTGGAAGGAGAGCTGCTGGCTGCTGCCAGATTTTGTAAACTTTCTAGGAAGGGAGATCAGGATGACTCTGCACTTTTTTTTGAATCAAGACATAAAGAAGATTATTTGCTGCAATGGGTGACAGCAGTCAATGTGGTGATAACCTTGGTGTCTGCATTATTTTTCAAACAAACAAACAAATAAAAGTCTTAGAAGTGCCATAGCGCAGATTACTCAGCATTTCAGCGCTGAGAAATCCAAATATTTTACTCAGTTTTCATTTACAGCCACACATGTAACTTGTAATGTATACAAAGGATGAGGAGGCAGCTTTCTTTTAAATCATAGTGGTGGGCAGGAAGTAT